CCACTGCGGCTCCCTTGACATTTATGAGAACGATATGACTTGTTGTGCCATTAACACTTAGAAAACGGTTTTGATATAAAATACTTTTATCATGTGTAACGTCACTCATTCACTTTATCTTAATTTAGTTTTTAAAAATATTACGTTTCAATTTATAGAAAGTAAAGAAAAAGTGAAGATAAGTTTATTTCTGTTTCATTAAAGAAAGTCGTGTCTTAATATAGCTTTTAGAAATATTACGTTTTAATCTATAGAAAGTAAAAAAGTGAAGAGGTGCTGATAATTTTTCTTTAACGAAATTAGTGTCAGTTTCTAGCTGATTGATGAAACGGGTCTGTTTAATGTGAAAGTGAATTGTAACGCACGTTTTCCCACTATTTTCATCACCGCAATTAACAAATTATTATTTTTTATTTGTGATTTTACAGATCTCTTCAGATTCAAATTAATATTATATAAACATCGCACATTGTATTTAAAACCATATCAGATATTTTTCAATTCGTATTCTTTCGTTTTATGCTATATGCTATATTTTGCCGGACACCATTTTAATCGTGTACTGTGATCAAGGCATAATAAAACCATAAAGACGAGCACATTTTGGGGATTGAGTTCCTTACAAGATATTGAAAATTAATAACCAAACAGGTTGTTAAAATTAACCCAAACATTGTAATATTTTATGTATTGTCTGTGTGTATTTTATGTCTGTATTTTATGTTTTCACCTCGCGTATTTGATGTATTGTTGGTGTGTGTTTATGTGTGTATTTTATGTATTGTCTGTGTGTATTTTATATAGTCTCATTGTCTGTTTTGTGTGTGTATTTTGTATATTCTCTGTGTGTATTTATAAAATTATTCTCTGTGTATTTATAAATTTATTTACTGTGTGTATTTTATGTTTTATCTGTGCGTATTTTCTTCTTCATCTGTGTGTATTTTCTGTCTATTTTATTTTATGTATATTTTTTGTATATTATGTATTCCTTGTATATATTGTATGTATTCTCTGTTGTATTGTATATATTCTCTGGGTGTACTTTGTGTATTTTCTGTCTAAATTATTTTCTGTATATTGTTTGTATTTTATGTATTCTCTGTTTGTATTTGTTGTCTATATTTTATGTATTCTCTGTTGTATTGTATATATTCTATGGGTGTATTTTGTGTATTTTCTGTCTAATTTATTTTATGTATATTGTTTGTATTTTATGTATTCTCTGTTTGTATTTGTTGTCTATATTTTATGTATTCTCTGTTGTATTGTATGTATTGTATGTGTTCTCTGTGTGCATGTTATGTATTCTATGTCTATATTTTATGTTTTCTCTGCGTGTATTTTATGTATTCTGGGTGTGTAATTAACATGGGGATATTAATAATGGTCTAGGACCATATATTCAAAACGCCAGCTGTTTGGAAAGTGGATATTGGCTCTGTTATGCACTTGACTTCAGTTGTCTGATAAATAGATCAGAGGACGGAGACTCTGTGTTATTAGACCAGGTGCGTTTTCATAGTGAAAACAAAACACAATGACAAAATGAAAAACGACTGAAAAACATCGAATTTAAATGTTTGTATACAGAATGTATATTACAAGAGTAAATATACCAGCCAAGAAAAAAAAGGAAATAATGATAACTGCAGGAATTACACAAAGGAAAGGAATTTCTTAAAATAACTCAAGTTTCTTCACGTATATATTTTTTGTCTTCACTGGTCCAAATGAAGTATAGCTATAAGACAAGCGATAAATTATATGATAATATTTACGAGCGTTTATTTACGAACGTTTGGAAGATTCTTGTGTTTCGTGTAAAGATGTGTTAATAGATCTCCATGATTTATGATGATATAGAAGACAGTCGTCATTGTCTATCGGATTTGACGTCTAATGGGTTAATTATATTAGAATGTATATTAACCACTTAGGTTCTAGAATTAGCCGGCTTCCCCGTGATTATACCTCGTTAGTAGTAATATATCTATTAGCCTAATGACTTTTTGCTCTACGAGTACTCGATGTTAGCAGTCTATTTAAACTAATTCCACGAATATCACAATCTATAGTTAATAAACAAAAATTACCGGCATCGTAGAGAAAATGCTGATAGACAGAAATACATTTTTTACACGATGTGACATAGGCTTTCATATTGTCTTTATTTGAAAGAAGGGTTCGGTTTGGAATCAGATCGTAGTTCACTTCTTCATTGACTTCAAATATGTTTTGGCCAATATTTTTTCTCCGTTAATTCTAATCGTTTAATCCACAAAGATTCAAATATGTCGCAATTATCTAATAAATATTATTTTTAAATAAACGCGCCATAATACTATTCATGCCAAAACATACCTAAAATAAAATATCTCTAGTAACAAAATATCGGTTTAAAAGGGAAAAAAAGAAATGAAGATTATAATAAACTTGTACCAAAAGTCACTGTAATGGTCACTGTCTTCAGTAAAAATAAAATTGTATATTTTCTTTTTATCTTAAACATACATTATGCAAGAGCTAAATCTGCCTATTGCAGGTCTTTCTTTAGGCCTGAAATGTTATATAAACTATTAATTAGAAATTTAACAACAAAACACATACTTATGGAAAACAGCTACTAGTGTATTTAAGGCGACGTTTCGTAGAGTATTCTCTCAACGTTATCAAGCTTGATAACGTTGAGAGAATACTCTACGAAACGTCGCATTAAATACACTAGTAGCTGTTTTCCATAAGTATGTGTTTTGTTGTTACTCTATCCAGTTACTAAATGCCATTTAAAGAACAAATTAGAAATATATTAACAAAACAAGACCATAATCGACCCTCGATGGCATCAGATACTCAAGATTTTAACTAGATTAAAACACTTCGCCATTTAAAAATTTAATTTAAAAATGGGAAAGCGAGGCTAAATCCCGATTATACCAGAGCCCTGGTTACCAATGATAACTTGGCTGAGATGAAATTTTCAATATTTTTTTTTTTTATCATCTATTTTTGAATTATTATAGCAAGAATGACCAACTCTTTATTAAACTCTTAACTAATGTATCTTTAATAAAGGACTATTTTTTTTAATGTATAAAACCATAAAAACGAGCAGACACAAGACAAATCGGAAATAATTTATGAATCCAATCCGAAAGATAATCTACTCTTGATTGATATTTTTGTTTTTTTTTAAATTAATTTTTTAATAATGAGTTTGGGTACCTTTTAGCATGGATAAGGCCGTGAAATGGTTAGATATTTGTCCGAAAAATATACAATCGGGATCAGCGAAAATGTACAATATATTAAAATTGTATAAAAACTGACAGGTACATTATAATATTGATTTATGTGCTGTTATGATAGCTGCATCATGTATTATATAATTTGGAATATACTATTTAAAAATGCACCATTTTAACGCTTGTGTGAAATTTTTTACAATCGCTAAAAGTAAAATATACCCTACATGTAAAACCTCTAAAAAAATCACCTCTAATCTGATTAGAAAGTCGTACACCAAAAGATTCTACCCCGAACTTCTGGGTGGTGAATGTTTCTAGAATTTTAATTCACCACAATTTGCCCACACTAAGCCAATTTCACGATATTGTAGGTTGTGGGGGATTCAAAATACCCCGAATGACGACCAGTTGCTTTAAGGAAAGATTGACCTTTGAACCGGAAACGGAGATGAAATCCCATGGAGACTTCTCGGCCAATCTCAACTTAGTGAGTCAACGCCATATTCAATGAACGACCATGGCCGCCATGATAGGTTAGGTGTGTTGAATGATTTTATGAAACATTCATATTTTGTAGGATGCATGTTGTGTGTCAATCAACATACGAAGAAAACATAAGCTTTCTTTGTTGATATAATTATCTTTTAATTATCTCTAAATGAAACAGCACCTTAACATCATATCGTTTATTTACTCGTTAAATTTGCCACTCCATAAAATACATGTTTGATTTATGTACGTTAACAGGTTTCGTGACCTATAATTACACAACTCATATTTTTTTTTATAAACTTATTTAAAATATGATTTATTTTAAAAGATAACCTGCTTCTTCTATTACAGGCCATTATACCACCGGCTGAATATGGGTTACAATATACTCTTTTTGCACTGTTAAAATTTAAGTGCTGTATTTAGCACAGAGATGAAAACATCGTCGTTCTCAATGCCGAAATTCGAAAAATCAGTTGTGTGATATGCTATTGAAAAGCAACCCAATATTTTTTGTATATTTATGCCGATGTTGCGGTTTGACTAGCTATCCTCTTCTACTCCATAAATTACCTTTTCTTAAGTTTCAATACAGGAGAATTCAGCCTTGACATTTTGTTGATGTAACATGAAATATACGATACAGTACCCAGTTGACCTAATACCACTCCAAATCAAGATTTATAGTAATGTAACAATAAACAGTTTGTTGCTGAAAACTTGAAGCAAAATGATACGTACGTAACTAGAACCGTTTTACTCGGTGTTCCGTGTAACAACGGATGCAATAGGGCCTACCATTACGACAAAGGTTGATCTCAAAACAGTCATCTATGCGAGCTACCGCCGATGTAACCCCCTGGAGTAATTGAACGGGGCGGGGGAGGGGGCAACATGTAGTAATCTATATTATATTTCAATGGTTACATTTATGTTCTTCATGACAAGACCGTGTTGCTTTAGCAAAGGTTAGCCCCACCCCTTCTATATCTAATATATGCGGGTCCTGGGACAGGCTACCGGACTCTGGAATCCGACCTTTACAATTAAACGGTTGCGCCCGTAGAGCTAACAATGAAAGTGCGCCTAATCATTGGTACATCCCGATTTGACGTCTGGCAGAAAAGTAGGTGGTAACGCCGCTGCCGGGCATTCCAGCATATCCATAGAAATAAAAACTACTATTTCATTCTATCGTATATGAATGAAACCCAAGGTCAGCTGGCGTTTAGTCGATTATAGATAATAATAATAATAAAAAATTGTTAATAAAAATATTTATTCCAGAATACGAACAACAAATGTACAAGACCTTTAATTATTATACAGTTATTTACACTAAAACACAAATTTAATAAATTCACATAACTGACTCGAATCCTATCTAAATGATTTGTATTTGACATTCTTAGACAATTTTGGACTGATTTTCATTTCAGTTGTTCAACTTAAAGATGCATTATGTAAGATTTCGAGAAAGAGTCGACAGTTCTCGCTATAATAGTTAAAAACTAGATATTTAAAAGAGAATATCTTACATATTTCAGTCAATTACTTTATTTTAAGTGACGTTAGGGCTGCTTCAAGAAAAGCGGAGTCTCGATTGTCATTGCTACCGTTGTTGCGATAGTAAACAAAGTCTGGATTATCCATTTTTTAATCAAATCATTAACCGCCAATCCTGTTAAAATATGTCGAAAATCTACGTCATCCGATGACACCGAGAGTTCATTATGGTAAGTTTATTAGTGTCGAAATAATAATTTATATAACATTTAAGGCCTAAAGAAAGACCTGCAATTTATCTCTTACATAATGCATCTTTAATCTAGTTTGCCAGAGAATCAAAATCCCTAAAATAACCATCAGCGGCTTTAAGACAAACCATTGACAAGTAGTGGTCATGGGCATAGGATTCGCACTATACTACGTTATGTTTTTCATGTTAAAATCAGAAATGAAATATTACATACGCTATGTTTTTGGGGCGATTTTGTTTTTTGGTATTTATGTTTCATTGTTTTAAAACCGATAAAAATAGTCTTCACAAAGTCAACGTTTTACGAAATACGTTTCATATCACGAACGTATTTGGGGTTATTTTGAATATTTTATGATTCAAAATGAATTACATTTCATATCACGAACGTATTTGGGGTTATTTTGAATATGCTATGAATCAAAATGAATTACATTTGGGGGTTTTTGTTGGAGAGTTATAATGCCTCTTTAATACTGATATACGTTTAAAAAATAAATACTGTTGTTATGTACACCTCAGTGTATGCTAACGTTACTTTTGCAAACCAGATATCAAATGCATATCGTAATACTCTAATATTGTGACAACTATTATAAAGATATTTAATGCGTAGATTAATCTTATATATCCCCATTGTTCGTAAACGCGGTTTTAAATATGTCATTAAAAGATATTTTTTTTACAAACATTCACAAAATTTATACATGTAGCCCTATCTTCGTTTATTTACACTCCAAGTCCAACTTCGTGTACCTGAACATAAAGGACGTGCCTCTCTCAATAATATCTCATTTTTCTTTTTATCCTATTATATTGACGCGATAAAATATAGCAAAATCTAAAATAATCCAAGTAACACCATTTTGTGGCGTATTGTCGTATTTTTGACACCCCTGCTAACTGTTATTATTTTTACATGCGAAAAATTATTATTTAAATCTCAAAAACCAAGCTGAAAAGAAAATTACAATTTTTTCCGATTATTTTTCGGTTTATCGTCGTCATTAATACAATTTTAAATAATATTTTCTCCTTGGAATCACAGTGTCACCTTGAATGAGACTTTAGTCCTAATTGATTGTTTGATGATTATATTTATATATTTTAATCGTAGCATATGCATTATTTTTTGCTTCACTTATACGCGATATTTTAACTGTTCTATTTTGCTTTACCTATACGCGATATTTTAACTATTCTATTTTGCTTCGCCTATACCCGATAATTTAACTGTTTTATTTTGCTTCACCCATACGCGATAAATTGACTGTATTATTTTGCTTCACCTATACGCGATATTTTAACTGTTCTATTTTGCTTCCCTTGTTTTATTTTGCCCCACCTATACGCGATAATTTAACTATATTATTTGGCTTTACTAAAAATCCCTTCATGGAATTAATGCAGTGTAAAGGGGATTGAGCTCAATAGTTAATTAAAATATTGCGACTCCCCGTATCAGATATATATTTTTAAATGACTATTGATGCGATTGGATTTAACACACTGTACGTTTGTTTGTGATTTCTGCGTATCGTGTCTTGTCCGTAGACTTTCTGCTCACGATTTTCAAAAGCTTATTTTCTCCAAAACAATTTATCACCGTAATATGGCAGTCGGTAGAAGAAATTCCAGTGGAAAAGATCTGCGGAACAAAACCATAAGCAAAAAGTCGGAAGAAAGACGAAAGTCAAAAGTTGAGAGTAGAAAGTAGAAATTCTGTAGATGAAAGTGGAATTCGGACGGTTTCAAATTGAAAATATGGATGTGTTACCAGATCAAATGCATAAAGTCACAGATAAGAATTTCTTTTTAATTTTCTACTTTTTACTACATATCGCGTTTTGAACCCGATATTTCTCTATAATATCTTGCTCGTATTAATTAAATACAGTACCATTTTATATTTATATTTCTGTCTCTTTGTCTTGAGACATGTGTCTCACTATTGTGTTTTAACAAGGCAACATTCAATAGCTAATAATATGATGCGTAAACAATTTACCAACAACTTACACTAAATGTACATCTAGTGAAATTATGACCAGTCTGCTTAAAGGAAACACTTTAATGCAGGATTATTATTTTTGCCCCATATCCCCCCAACGCCACCACCACGTGACACCCAGTGTGATGCGCATATTTTAATAGTTAATAATAATACATATATCTCTAGTATCACAGTTTAATCACAACACACTTTAACATATTACAACTCCACTTATATGACGTAATATTGTGCTGGAGAACACGTATTGTGGTTTCATAGCTACGCTGCGTTCTTAAGATCTGAACACGAGCACTACTTGAGTATCGTCTCTTTCCAGTCTAAAATTTATCTGATGAATACCAGTGCACTCAACACCATCTGGTCAGCATCAGTGATACCAACACCAGAACAGGACCAGTTTACACCAATGTCAGATCAGCATCAGTACACACCAGCATCAGGTCAGTAACAGTACACCCCAGTATCAGGTGAGCATCAGTGTACACCAGCATCAAATCAGCAACATTGTACACTAGCATCAGATCAGCATCAGTGTACGCCGATACCAGATCAGCACCAATGTACACCAACACCAAATCAGCATCAGCATACACCAATACCAGTTCATCATCAGTGTACACCAATACCAAATCAGCATCTAGGTACATCAATATCAGTTCATAATGTGTGCACACATTAATAGAATTTCATGTGCGCCAACACCAGTTTAGCATTCATGCACACACACACACACCCACATGCCAGTACACAATAACCTCCGAACAGAGTTAGTGTATGTGCACACTAACATCAAATATGAATCAGTGCACACAGATATCAGATCAACATTGGGTCACAACAACTTCCGTGCACACATATTTCAGATCAACATCAAAATCAGATCGGTAACCGTTAATACCAGATCAGCAGCTGGAATATCCCACCATCAGTATATAACAGCATCTGATCTACATTAATGAACGTCAACATCCGATCAACATCAAAATCAGACCAGTATATAAAGACCAATATCAGTTCAATATGAGATGAAATCAGCATCAAATGATACATCAGTATCAGATGAACACGAGATGATCACCAACATCAGAAGATGTATCGTATGTTCGAGATGTAGTTTAGTTTCCAAGCTCACCCCTTATCGTAGCTTCAGTGGATTGACTGACTGATGTTGTTTGATCGCCTTATGCACATCCACATTTCATAACTTTCATGTTTTTTAAATCTGTATATAGAATGTTATGGTTGTGGTCAAAATATAAAAGTGAAATGGGTTGAAGCTTTGTTGGTGTGCAGCATGGGCCGTCAGATGTTGGAGATGCATATTGCCGTAAATATGCATGAGCATGTTCATCTTGATAGGTTGATTGACACTCTCCAGAACAGTAATCTGCTTTATATCTCATAGGTGCTATTACCCAATCCCAACCAAAATCCACGAAGTCAACTTCCAGGGGATATCGACAACATCGTTGCTCATTCGTGTTATCTGTACATACTAAAGCAATACTCCTCTTTGGCCTGCGCTTCTTTAGTTCTACTGTCTCAAATTCTAGAATCGGTTCCTGAAATAACAATTATATGCCGATTATTTTAAGCGATCTACTTGCAATTTGATTAAAATAGAGATCTATATTTCGTTTCGTTTTTTTATACTTTCGTATGGCCTACACTACATGAATATTTGGCCGGTTGTACAGGGAGGTCGCGTCAAGGGTCGTACGAGCGACTTTTGACCCTATGACTTCAGACCTTGATTAATCAATCAGCGTTGACGTTTCTAGTGGTTCACCCAAAGTTCCGTGCGTCGCACGCCAAGAACTCGCCGTAACAGACCGTTTCATTGGCTAATCCCTTACTTCAACCAGAACGCCGGTAATATAACAACTCTTCGAGATCCTAGTGTAGTAAAGACAAATAAAACGAAATTTTGAACAATAAAAAACGAAACGAAATAGGATCTGTGTTTTAATCAGATTGATCTACATGATAATGTATTTCACAAAAAATGTTGAAACAATACGGACTTTTTCAGCTACACATGTTTAATCCTCCAAATCATTTGGAACATCTTTTGTCTGGTCTGCCAATAGCACCTCAAACCTAGTACAAAACCGATGTTTACGGGAATTGCGCCTAGGGAAAAGTAAATACTTACATAACCGTGGTTCTCGGAGTCTTCTATGGACGGCGTAACGACCAGATTTCGTCCATCATGATCGAAGGCCGTCAACACCAAGCCATAATTCATCTCTGGATAATTAATCCATTTATGAACAAGATGTCTGATATCAACTCTGTGCCAGTTATTCCCCTTTTTATAGCTTGGTATGTGCTTTTTGTAATGTATCCGCACGGTGTTGTTGTGACCACACTTCATACTAGGTGGACAGATCTTGTGTACTCGCATCTCTATAGCTGTGCTCTGTGGAACTGTCTGCTTCACATAAAACCAAAGAATCGCCATCCGAATTCGCACATTTTGGACTTCATCCGGCATTTTGAAATAACATCCATGTTTGTTTGGTATACCAAGCTCATCTGGCACTGGAAAGACAACAATAGGATATGTACATTTTATGCTTCTTGTACAAGGTGACGATATATTTGTTTCAAAGACATATATGGGAGTAAAGTATTTAACTTGACTCTAATTTCATTTCTCCATGCTAACATACCCATCCAATACATCGAGAAAAGCGTTTGTAAATATACATTTTTATGTTGATTTTTCTTACGCTTCGAAGGAGAATTTCAATGATTTGGGTGTTTTTTTACAAATACATCAAGAACTGTCTTGCATTCACAAGATTAAAACTAGAAATAGTAAATAGCTGTCCTGTAAAACTGTAATAGATTTTGGCCGGTTTGTGATAAAAAAAAAGTTGAATTTGGTTATACATGTAACTGTTATTATTATTGCAAATTTGAAAACAAAAAAACAACAAATCAGGCAACAAATGTAACCTGTTGGAACCAGATCAGACAATCCTGGTCATTATGCAATATTGCTGCAACTGTGAGTAGTCGGCGATTAGAACATTAAAAAATAGGAAACAAAGGTAATGGAGCGTGAACAAGGCCCATTGCATTATCTATTAGGTGAATTGAAATGCATTTTCAACTCACAAATTAGTAATACTTGTGAAAAGAACGCGGACATGTCCACGGTTCAGCGGTCATTGAAACAAGAATATTTAGCACTCAAACTAAAAGCTTCGTTCAAAGAATTGTATGCTCCTCATCAGGAAGTGGTTGATAAAAATATAAAAATGTGTGTGTGTTCTATGATAAGAGATCTATTTCACGAACTAATGTTTCTGTATTTATTCAAGTACATGTGTTAGTGCAGTTCAACTCTGGAATTGACAATTAAGCCCTATCTAGTGTTAAATGTTAACTGTCATCAACTGTCATTGCTAGAAACCACTATCGAACTAAGCTATTTGATACCATTTTACCACTTTAGTATACATTACATTATTAAATCAATGTTCTATAACCATGTGTTATGTAATAATAACTACAGAAGGGATCATTCTCAATTCGAGTAAGGTACCGACTTGACAGCAGACCAGAGTAGCGTATGGAATGGACATTTCGGGACTAATTTTATTATTTTATTTCAATAATTCGCTTGCGCGTAGGGGTCTTTAGCAGTGGTAGGAAACCGGAGGACCCGGAGAAAACCCACGAGATTGGACAGGCGATCCTACTCCTTGTCACCACGCCAGTTGACTCAGTCACACACCTTATGATACAGATACAACGCGCGCACGCGCTATCCCCCCCCCCCCCCGGGAATGGAGGGGAGTTTAACGCCTAGTCAAGACAATACTTCGGTTATTCTGAGTTCAGAGCACGACTGTTTATTTTCTGCAGCCACGATTGTAATTCTAGAAAGAGAAATGTGGCCTGGTAGGGTCTTCTGGGATCCCACCTGAAACAACTTTCCTACTCTATTTTGGTAAGTCCATGAAGTTGTTTGACAGATTATGTGCTTTTCGGGTTATGTGTACTGCGATTGAGTCTCGCAGTGTTAGTTGTGTTCCGTGTTTGTTATCCCAGTCGGTGCAGAACAGTAGGACGTCAAACCCCGTTTCATTTCATTTCTGTGGTGTGTTTATCGCGATAGGTAGAGTAGATGCGTATTATTTTCGAAAGATGTGATGCTATCTTGTCATGGAAACGCCAGTTACTTTAGTCCGCGCACTATTACATTACTTTGCATTGTATCTATGGACTTTGGATTGATTGGCCTTTAGAATTGAAGGTACTATATTTTATTTTTATTGGCAGGGGAGCACCGGGTGACTCAGGGAGAATGGCGCTAGCTCATTAATACGGCGAAAAAAATTCCTCGGGATTTTCGATCATGGTTTCCCCCTTGTCAGTGACACGTGTCTTGTCTTTTTGGATTGGACGGAAATCAGAGATCCCGAGAACCATCAAAGAAGGGTAGACATTTTCCGGTTGGTTCAGAAAAGTAGGACGTTTAACTCAATTTTATTTCGCGATTGTCAACAAGGGCCTTTTGGGTCGTTGGCCTGATGTGCTAATTAGGCGAGGTGCGGGTCATATGTTAGTGTGTTACAACTAGTCTTAAAACCAGACTGTACAGTTGATTGATAGATATAGTTTGTTTATTATTGTCAGTACACAGATAACATACATCATATTTCTAAATAGTTTTTCATTTCACCAGCTGTGAAATATTAATGTACACAGTTTTTCTAGCTATGGAAAGTGTGTTATTGTCCAGCGCGCCCCACTGATTATTGGAGTCAAGGTGACTCAATAAAGATGGCGCTGGCTGACTAACCAGGACATCTTGGGCCCGGTTCCTAGAAAGTACTTAAAGTAAGCACAAAGTCATGCTTTACGTTTTCTCACGTAAGAAATTTTATAAAATACCGTCTCTAGAAATTTATCAAGACCGCTCTTACGTAAGCACAAGTCAAGTATGAGTCTAAGCACATTGTGACTGGTAAACTGAGACTATGGTGCTCTCTAACGTCATAAAAACAATTTTGGTGTGCGAATTACGTCATAAATTGGTCGGCTGCTTCCCCGCAAATGGTCGATTTAGATGCATTTGACATGGCCCGTATACACATATAAAATGTGCCACAAGCTAAAAAAAAACCGCAAGCACATGCAAACAGACTGAATAATTGTGAGAGCGCCGGATCTTAAAGTAGCCCGTTTGTTTGTGTTGTTTACTAATTGGTAAATAAATACAATGGTTTCAGGGTAGAAGCATTCTTCTCGAGGATAATTATGTTTCTAAAAGATTTTCTCTGTCTTTCAATTGTCTCTTTGGTATCAAAAGATGTAGGAAATGCCGTCGAATAACTCTACGGTCAGCCATTTTGTTTGAAGCAGAAACAGGCTTAAGGTGGGTAAGCAAGCCGTATACCTTGCTAGGGTCTTGTGCTTGGATTTACAATGTTTAAGAACGAAGTTGTGCTTAAGTGTTTTCTTGGAACACATAATAACGTGCTTGTGCTTACACTGAAGTCTACTTAAAATCTAAGCATAAGAACGTTCTTAAGAATTTTCTCGGAACACAAAATAAGATAAGTTTACTTAAATGCAAAGTCTACGTAAAATCTAAGCACAAGAAAGTGCTTAAGAATTTTCTATGAATCGGGCCCTGGGTTCAATACGGGTATTGGCGAGACAGTTAGTCGAGTTTTTCCAGCCTGTTTTCACATTGTTAATGGTGCAGTAGGGAGGATCTGGCAATAAAATAAAAAAAAAACGTCTAGTCGTTCAGATAGCGCGAAAGGTCCCCTGTTAGTTTTAAATCGAAATAAGAGTAGGAAAGACGACCCTCATAGCATGCTGCATAGCGTATGCCCGTGCTCAATGATCCGATTGTGCAGAACTTTAGGACGTGGAACCCCATTTCATTTCATTAATTAGCCCTCGATATTAACATTTTTTAAATTTTTAAGAAAAAAACCCCGGATATCTGGATAAAAAATATTTCCTAGTTAGTGTAATTGAGTACATAAATTAGTACGCGCACGCGTAAGATGGGTAAGCGGCGCCAATTCTGTCCGAACCAGTAATGTAATCTTCGTCGAAAGTGTTATCGACCCCATATCGCGTTGTTGGTAAACATTAGGATGTGACGTCACAAGTAGAACTATACTGGACGTGACCTTAAAGGATAGTACGTCATACCGCTGTGAAAAGAAATAGGGTGTGAAAGAAGAAATTGAAAAGACCGTAGATGCTTAGGTTGATTTGCGGCATCAACACTTTTAACAACATCGGCGTGTTTCATAGGCTTTAAACCTCTCGTTAAGCAAATGGTTAAAGTACCGTTAAACAACTAAAAGTACTTGAATATAGACAATACAATTACTTATTGTTATTGATACACACATTACTCGTTTTAATAATGGGACACAAGCACATAAAGTTTTTGCAATGATTATCAAGAGTTATTTCCCACTGAAAGAACGTGACATTCGATTACTCTATCATTTGCATAAACAAATTGAACGTTAATAAAGTTATTTCCCGGTGACATTAATGGGAGTAGAAAAAACCCCACAGCTGATTGCTTTCCGATTTCTAAAATCTTCCTGCAAAGATCATTAATCTATTATTGAATGGACTTAATGGTTAAGTTAAATAAACAGATTAAAAGCGAAAACAATATCCTCCCACACACGTGTAATAGGGTGCATAAATCGCTTCTATTTTCGGTTTAATTATTTTTTTTAAAGAATAGTTTATTCAAACTGATTGAATGTCACCCCAAAAAATATATAGTATTTATCGAATTGTAATGACTACCAAAAACGCTAGATCTCGATTAATCTGTGGCTTTTTACTTCGCTTACAATAAAATCAATTTTCCTGCACGTAAATTGTACTCGTAATTTACTTTTTGCATTCCCCTCGCTATTTAACCGAGATAGGAATGTGTAATATTCCCTATATAGGCGGTGTGGAGTCATTAGTAATTCATCATCATAAATTACCCAGAACAATAATAATGACGTAATTCATTGTCATTACTTAATGTGCTTAACGTAATGGATTTGGTAGATGCGTTTAAAATGGATATTAATATCAGTATTAAAAGAATGATGTTGTGCATATTCATAAAAATAATTATATTCAACCGCTTGTTTACATGCTACTGAAAAGTCGTAAACAAACTGAGAAATATTATTTTACATCAATTTCCCACTTATTTTGGTGATAGAACATTTTTAGAGCATCTTTTCTATGGAACAAACTCCCCTACTACTTTCGTGCACAAGAAGCTTATAAATCACAACTACAGTAGTTTCATTAACTTATTTGTCTGTAAATCGTTAATACCTATTTCCTAATATTTCATAGTGTTTTAGATCATTCGCATAGAAAATAATACATTTGAGGCGAAATTTGGAAAAATACAAACGATTAAATTCAGATTTAAAGGAGGTGAAAATCTGTGTTATTGTTTAAAACTATACGAGCGTACTGTGAAACAGGAACCGAGTATCACGTGAACGCAGCCGTCTTGGAATCATGACGTCATTGCAAAAATCTAAGTCCATCAATCGATGCGCAATTGTCCAAGAAACAATGTCGATCGTATTTGAATTGACGGAGCCTATGGGCCTTTTTGAAGAACAGCGTCAAAAATAACAAGATGGTTAGCGCCTGGGACCTAGTTCCAGGTAAAAAAATGTTATGATCCGTTTATTTTTCACTAAGAAAGACAGTAAATTAAGATTTTCGCATTTCAAAAGATAAGCGTGAAATGTATAATTTTAACGTGAAATGGATGACTTAAAATACAATAACTTAGAAATGATAAATGTTAGGTTTTAAGACCTGTTGGCCATTTAAATATCTATGTGCGTCAATTTATGTTTAACATGCTTGGGGTTCGGGATTTTTGTACAAGATATTTTTTGTTGTTTATTTTATAAAGATAAGGACCCCTTTCCCCACAAAAAACTATATTTCAGATTACTTGATCGACCCTATTTTTGTTGCTCATTTCTCTGGTCGTATAAATCGAATTCCGCATCGTTTTCTGTAGACAAATGCCAACATTGAAATTTCGATATTTGAACAGTCCTATTCGATATTATATTCGAGAACCTTACTCAGTAATTAAAGTAGCTAAATCGCTTATATTTGGGACCTAGAAAATGACACAAATGGTAATCAAATCAGTTATGTTCGCGAAATACGCCAGAAGTCTCACTGGAATGGCAATCTCTAGCATCTGGTTATACCAGTCTACATCGATAGCATGCTCTCCAGATAAGAATATGACGTCACCGTTAAATGACTTGGGGAATATATCTAGCCTCGTTCTTCGAGTCCCTTTTTACAAATGGCGCTGAAACGCATTATGGTACACGATTCGTGTACCACAGGTAAAGTGCTTATTTTGTCTTAAATATTGGATATCAGAAGTCCATCTTTTCCCGGTAAGATCACAACATCATTGTTGATTTAAATTGACAAATAATTCGTGTTTTCAATGTCGAAGACTTTGGATGATATTGAGTTAGAGACTTAGCCTCTTTAAGCTAGAAATGCCAGGAAATAGATAATAACACTTAACCGTATTTAAAATGACATTGTATAGGCTATGCCTATAGAAGTTTTGATGTAGGTTATTAACAGATTAATTTATTAGTTCAGATAGTTCTATCCAATCTTACTCCACAGAGCTATAAATATACAATTGGTGAAGAATAGAAGGATGCTAAACCCAATTTTAGAATTTCAGACTGTTCTGAGCAGCAATTACGATGAATGGCCGACGACCTTTGATTGACTGAAATGAAATAGGGTTTAGCGTCCTACTTTTCTTCGCCGAATGGTCTTATTAACACGGGCGTATACAGCGTTTTATGAGGAAAAATTTGCCCGGACAGCGGTGCTATTCTTATATCGACAAGGTGGTGTTCACCTCTATTTTTAGTCCCATCCGAACGACTAGACCCTGCATCGCTGAAGGGGAAACAACGCCGAAAAATCCATGGAAACTGGGCAAACACCGGGGTCGAACCCCGGACCTCCTGGTTAGTGAGCCAGTGCCTTATCCACTGAGCCACAGTGCCACCCTCGATTGATTGAAATACAAACTGTACGTCAATGCCCCGAAACAGACACGTTTCTCCAAATTATTTAGCTTTTAATCAAACCGAAAATATTGAAACCAGTAAATCACTGGAAAAAAACGCCTTTGATCAAAATCTGATATATTTTGGCAAAAACGAAAGAACCGGGATGCTTACTGTCCAATCTGGCACACGGAATGGAGAGTAACGAACTTCAGAAATCTAAAAATACATCTTACTACAAACAGCTCGATATAATCAATACTGACCTGTTAATGCTTCCAGTTTTTATAATAAAGCCATCAAGTTGACAATTATTCACGGTGCTCTAGTTCACAGTAATAACATTAACCGGCAAAAAACTGATGATACGGTAAAACTAGTTTATGCCTTCTTGAGGGTTTTGGACGAATTTAGAAAGTCCAATTCCTATTCCTCAACTTTGTTTAAATAGCCCAATTTGTTTTTGACTAACCGTTAGCTAGGACTGTGCTTATTTTATAACATAGTCACTATTTTGCGTTGTATATTTATTCTTTATAGAACACCTAATACCTCTTCAGAGTGTGGAGGGGGGGGGGGGTCAAGCTGTCAGGGGACTGGGTTTTAATCCTGGTGTAGGTCGAGAAGAACTTTCGAGATTTTTCAAGCCCCAGTTCTCACTTGCGAAGTGTAGTGCCCGTTGGGCTGAGAAGTAAAGTGTGCCTAGTCATTCCGATGGGCCAAAAACCCCATTTCATTTCATTCCATTCCATTTGCGGGTTCCGTGCGGGTTTGACTTATTGTATATGTAGGGATTACTGGGAATCATTGCTGCTATAAGGATCAGTGTTACTATTAGTATCAATGTTACTATTAGGTGGGATCAATGCTATTAGGTGGGGTCAATGCTACTATCAGGATCATTGCTACTGTCCAAGCCAACCAAAAGTATCAGAAATCGTTTACTTTTACAAAATTAAACCGAGTGTGTCTAAATGTTAGTGACATTTTTGTCCCAGTAGAAATAAATTAAAATTTTATCTTCAAAATTCTGAACAAAAGACACCAATATATAAAATAAAACTGCCGGTTAAAACGTTGTTACTATTAATGATAAGAATGACACCAATTTAAGTAAACGAACAACAATGTGTTATTAATGATAAGAAGGTAACAACAATGTGTTATTAATGATAAGAAGGTAATGAAATGAAATTAAATTAGGGTTTAACGTCCAACTGTTCTGCTCCTAAACTGGGCTAATGAAGACGGGCATACGCCATACAGTGTGCTATGAGGGAAATTTTGCTAGGGCAGCGGCGCCACGGCCTACTCTTATATCGAATTCTTACTACCAAGCGATCTTTTACGTGCTTACGTGCACGCCAATATGTACACGGGACCTCGGTTTTTCGTCCCATCCCAACGACTAGACAGCTGTCCTTGGTAACAACAATGATATTACTAATGATAAGAAGGTAACAACAATGATACTATTAATGATAAGCTAACAACGATGATATTATTAATGATAAGGTAACAACAATGATATTATTAATGATAACAAGGACAAGATAATGATATTATTAATAAGAAGAAGGAAAGAGAAATTATATCATGATAAGAAGGAAACAGGTCCCTTTATTCAAATAAATCCTCAAAAGTTTTAGTATTGAAGAATAATGAAAAGTTGTCAAACCTATTTAAATTTTAAAAATATGGCACATAACTTTCAATTTAGACTAAGATAGAAAGTTGTCCTAAAACAGGACCCCGTGACACTCCATCGGTGAACGGTCGGTTGAGAAAGAAATAATAATACACCTGCCTATCAAGATAAGGCAATAAATGTATATTTTAATTCCTGCACTTGTTTCGTCGTAAAAATAGTAAAATACTGTTTGAGTCAATAGTGGTACATGTTCTATCGAAATAGTATTACCATCGCTTGATCAAATCAATTAAAAAGAAGTTCGCCTTGTCAGCCTGATCATTACATCTTAATGCTGGTCATGCTTGATACTGTCAGATGCTTTTTGTTATTTCAGAAGATAATAACATTTTACTTTGTACTGACAGGAGTTTTATTTTATTTAAAGAAATATTAAGACTAGGTATTTAGGGCCATACTTAACTTTTAAAGGTCAATCAAACAAACCGTAAACTAAAAATAGTAATTTGTTTAGTCTTCTTTGAAGCTTATAACATTTCGTCCCATCTGATCGACTATCTGTTGTCCCTTGCCAGGCATTCCGTCCTGCATCACTGACATTCTCGGCCAACACTGGGATCAAACATGGTACCTCCAGATTAGCGAGCCAGTGCCTTGCTCACTGATCAACCGCGGCTAGGACTGGGCTAATGAAGGCGGGCATACGCCATACAGTGAAGAAAATTGTGCCTGCTTAAGTGTCCTTTTTCGTGCGGGTGTGGGGTGGGGGTGGGGTGGGGAATGGCTGAATGGTTAGCGTGCGCGCGCTGTATCATAAAGTCTGTCATTGAGTCGTCTGGCGTGGTTTCGAATCCCCGGTTGTACGTGACAAGGAGTAGTGGGTTTTCTCCGGGTCCTCCGGTTTCCCCCCACTACTAAAGACCCCTATGCGCAAGCGAATTATTGAAATAAAATTAAACCATATGTTAGTCCCGAAATGACCTAGTTGTGTCGAGTGGACGTTAAACCCCATTTCTCTCCTTTTTCGTGCATGCCAATGTGTTTTTCGTCCAATCCAAACGACTAGACACTGTACCCTACCAGGCCTGTCAGCCCTCACAAGTTAGCCACCTCGGCTCCCCTAGGTATACAAACGAGATGAAAAGACAACTCGAGCAGCGATAAGATCCCATTTGATGCAAGCACCACGGAAAAAAAATAATGGAGATGGATATATATGCCCAAAACAACGGGGGGCGAGAGAGAGAGAGAGATAGAGAGAGAGAGAGAGAGAGAGATGGGGTTTAACGTCCACAAACTAGGTTATTTCGGGACTAACATATGGTTTAATTTATTTCAATAATTCGCTTGCGCGTAGGGGTCTTTAGCAGTGGGAGGAAACCGGGGGACCCGGAGAAAACCCACGAGGTTGGACCAAAACAACGGTATATTGTTTCTGTTATAAATATATTGTGTTTATATGAAAACAAATTAAAATTGCGATTTTGTGCACGGTAGTTTCCGTAAAACATCGGTAGAATGAATTTTTCATAAAATTAAATAAAACAAATTCACTTACCAGGTTTTCCCACGGTATAGACTCGATCAACCCGCCCGTAAAAATCATGATCGTCGTCGTATTCTTCGTAATCATGCGTTCTATACGGAGAATCTCCCTGCATATCCTCAGTAAACCTCGCTAATAAACTGGAAATGGATGGAATTTTAGGGAGAACTTTAGCGGTCATATTAGGTAAAGTTTTAAAATGGAGTTTGGTTAAAATCTGCTGCTTTATTAATTCCATTCTCATCCGTTTGTCCCTTTGTCTTGTGACACATTGTGAACAGTTTCTTTGGGTTGTGTTGCTGAAAGTTTGATTTGCGGAAAACGTTTCGTTATATTGTAAAGCATCGTCCATAATGGTTTCAGTATCGTCAATCACTTTATTATCAACGTAATCCTCTAAATTCTTTTCCGTGTCATCCGTAACAGTCACTAAATTTGATAAATCTGTTAAATCTTTGTAATAAGTCCGGTTATGGTTTGGTGAAATATGGCTACACAATAGGTTCGAGACGGACAGCAGAAAGATGACCCCTTTCAGTGAGAATCCAGGAATATTCACCACAACCATGGTTGCCCGAATTCTCCCGATAGCCTCTATAATAACGTGAATAAAATGAAATCAGCTGTAAATTCGAGGGTCTTTATACCAAGTCGAGTAAAGCCAGCATATCAATTACAAAAGACGCACGCGCCAGTAACACGGAGATTGACAGACCTGGTGAATAGAAGCTACTGAAATCAGCTGATTGCCATTTGTCAACAAGCCCCTCCCCCTTTCATGTGAACATGGGAAGAGAGTAGATTATAATAAAGCTATATATTATATACACCAGTTCATCATACGTCCATTAATCACATCAACCTAACACATTAAATGCGCATTTTCCAGCAGCACACGCGATTATGTTCATGCCACGTCTCTGACGTCAAACTGTTGGATAGAAGCTCGGTGTAAAAACTTACGATACTGTAGATTAGATCGGATAGTTTGGTCATATATCACCGAGTTTAAGTGTTTTAACACCATCTTGTCTTGAGATTTAAGAGGTTATTTCATTATTTAATCGACATGAGGTGTAAACCGATATTCTGACATTTAAAATCATATCAATTGTAACACATGACGGGCAGGAGAAGGTACAGATTCGCTTTAGATATTACAAACATGGAAACAAATTAACAAAACCTTTTGAACTCTTGGTTTCCTTTAGTGAGATTATCACAGGATGTAAAAGTAGTTCTACTCGTGTGCATTATTATGTTCTAAAATGAATTTTGAATAATAGCATATTCAAAATAACCCCAAAACGTGATATAAAACGTCTCTGGTATTTACAGTGAAGATGTGTAGATAAGCTTTATCTATATTAAAATAATAAAACATAATATATATAATACATAACGTATATAACATTTAATTTCTACCTTTAAAATGAAAAACACAGCATAGCTTGGCGCGAATAACATGACAACTGTACGGATTTGTATTTCAGTGGTCTGTTCAAAGGTCATTCTTTCCCTAAGGGATTTTAAATCCATTGGAAACTTCGATATACTGTGAAAGCAGAATTTCTAAAATGAATATTAATCTAAATAGTTCCATTCCGTTCTTCATTATTCCGGTTGGTGCAGAAAAGTAGGACGTTAAAGAGATCGATTATTCAACGGACAAGACGGATTGTTGGCGATAGATTAAACTGAGTTGGAAGACAGAATCCACATAACGCCAATTAAAGGAGTTAAATCAATATTTTAAAAAAACACGAATAAAATTCAACATTCGTCCATTTCAATCAATATTGATGATATTATCTTGCCGTGAAAAAATAGGATTCTAATGTCCAATATTTAAGACATGAAAATTTTAAAATCAATATACGGGTCGTATCTATGGATTCGCGCGCCATTTTTAATGAACAAAGAAAAATATATCCAGCAAGACCATGTAGAAGTAATTTACTAACATGACAAGACCATAACCGACTCGTGATGCCATCGGATTGCTCCAACTTTAAGAAGATTAAAACGGTTCGGCCATTTAATGATTAAATTTAAAAATGGAGACTCGAATGACCAGTACGTTGGTTACGATCAATGCACACAATCATCTTGTCAAGACTACAACCATTGATAACTTCGCTCAAGCTAAAGTAATTTGAGTGAAGTTTTCAATATATTTATTTTGCATTATCTATTTTTGAAATATTATAGCTAGAATGACCACCTCTTTATGTTATTTGCCCTGGGTTTACAGAGACACTTTTAAACAGACAAATGCATTTTCGGAACTGATCTTCACTCGTCAATGATATTATTAAGTGGTTAATGGTTACCGAGAAAGGGGAATATGTAAGTGAGGAAATTAAAATCAGCGAAAACTTATTAAAAAGTATACAGTACATCCTCCATCAATTGGTATAACGTAAAGACACTTAAATTGCTATTCAGCAAATTTCGAAGAGTTGGCAAAATTAAACTATTGAAATCAGGTTGATAGGTGTTTATCTAAAACTTGTAAAACATCAACAATAAATTTAAAGACTGTTTTTGTCTATTCATCGGCTGAAATTGAGATGGAAAATCTCACTTTTATATCTCCTACCCACACAAAATTACGTTCCTCCAAGTACATATAACTTTTGAAATTCCAGAACGAACTAGAAGAATGAACTCGTGCTGCACCTGTATAATCGTAAATATTTAGAATTATTGTAAGATATGTATTTAAAGTAAAATAAGATTGAAATTGGCATGTTTATTTGTTTAAATTGGTAGAAATCCAAGTAGAGTAGGGGGTATGATTGATATCTGTAGAGAGTGGGATTATTTACAAAATGTACTTAAAGAGACAATGTCGTTTATATCCAGATAACAAGCTGGGAATATGGTATACTTTGTAGTACAATCATCAATGAATTTTTGCTTCTTATGGCTAGTTGTTTATTCATTTACAGTGAAAAAATAAGTTCGTGAAATTTGTTTTAATCAGTATTGTTATGGGGTATCAGTGGCAATTGGTGCTATTCCGTGTGTGTGAAATAGCTTTATTTAACGTCCGCTTCCACCGAAATGATATCGCAGACATATGTTATTCCGCTCACTGTCCCTTTAATATACCAATAAACTGAAAAAGGGATTGACCAGCCCCGGATTTACGTAACTAAACGATTTCCTTAAACAATTGACGAATTGTTTGACGTCATTCGCCTTGCCGAATTAAATTAAATGGTACTTTTTATATAACTTCAAATGGAAAATAATAAAAACATTTTCAAATGGAAAATAACTAAAAGGAATTTAATAAACATTTTGACATTGACCTGAAATGTAAACATTAGAAGTAAATAAGTTTGGCAAGAGAACTTTGTATTTGAGGCACGTTGGTCTGTCAATAAATATTTGCCATTTGTCGTGCTTTCATTCGACAAGTGACTACTTTAGGTTCTATTTAGAATGACGAGTGTCAGTGATAGGCTATATATTTATTGATAATAATGGATGTTTTTTTAGAATAGTTGATGTTTATGGAGAATAGTTGATGTTTATGGAGAATAGTTAATAGTTTTTGAGAATACATGTAGTTAAGGGTTTTTAAGAATGCCTCCTGGTTACCGAGAACGGCTGCTGGTTCTTGCGAACGCCTACTAGTTATTGCGAATTCCTCTTGGATATTGAGAATGGCAGCTGGTTATTGAGCATGCCTCCTGTTTATTGAGGTGTCTCATAGTTATTGACTGTTGGTTATTGAGAATGATTACTAGTTATTGAGAATGCATCTTGGTTAGTGAGAATGCATCTTGGTTATTGAGAATGGCTGCTGCTTATTGAGAATGGCTGCTGCTTATTGATAATGCCTCCCTGCTTATTGATAATGTCTCCCTGGTTATTGTGAAAGAATGACCGTCAGTTATTGAGAATGGCTGCCGGTTATTGTAAATGCCTTAAGCTTAATGATAAATAAACAAAAATACTAATTGTCAATCAAAAACAATTAATTCTATATGTACAAAAATAAATAAAAACAATTGAAACTCATGCTTATGTGGATGTTCCCTATTATGAGCATCTGGAATAAAGGGTGTATTGTATAGTGTTATTTTATCTCATGTCAAGATGATCATTAGCCTTTGTGGAGGTGACTCGCTTCCGCCATACCATACATTCCAAACATGGCGTACTCATGTTAAAACAAGCGTGTGTTGTTGACAAACATGCAACCTGTTTGTTGTATTCATGCCTCGGGAATATAAATCAACTTGTTAGAATCCCGGATGCTTGTTGTTTAGCTTTAATAAGATAAGTAGAAATGATGTATTACATGTTCACACAGCTTAAACACATTCCACACTCAAACGTCGTCTTCTTCCTGGCAAAACATTTATGAAATAATTGGAAACTATGAAGAACCGCTTCCTAATCTTCAGCATATTTGTCATTGTATATCATTCTCTAGTCAATTTGCACTACGTTTAAAATAAATAAGTATTCGTTATTCGCTAACCAGTAGGTCTTGGGTTCGCTCACTGTGCTGGCCGGGAAGATTCCTCGTTTCTTTTTGGGGTTTTTTCGGAACGGGGCGAAAACCCGAGGTCATATTGACGTGCACGTAAAGCAACCGTTTCCAGGTGACTGACTGGGCAAAATTCCGTCATAGCACAGTGCATGGTGTATGTCCGTCTTCATTTCCCCGGTTGGTGCTGAAAAACAAGTCGTTAAATCCCATTACATTGCATTATTATATTACTGCGTTATGCATTATCGTATTATATTACATTATATTACTTTGTACCTTTGGATAAAATAGAATAAATTAATGAAATGAAATGAAATGGGGTTTAACATCGTAGTTATAATATTTTATTGTTTGTAGGTCGCCATCGCGCTAATTGTGTAAGGCAGGACGTCGAGTTGAAAAAACATGACTATATTATACTAATTCAGTAAAAGGACACGTTTGAATAATAACGCGTGTCGTGCACATCACATGGTATTTTACTCTTTTCACAACACACAATTCTACTTCAAAATGGAATCGTGTAAGTTACTTTGTTGACATCTCCACCCACCCCCGCCCAACAATTACAGATTTGAGAGTATGTTCTATCTAGTATTAATGGTATTATTATTAGACTGTCTTGATCTTTATGTGTAAACTACAGCAAGATGATTCAGTTATAGAATGTTTTACTATGGATAAATAGTAGATATTATTATTAATTTGGCTCAGCCCTACCTTTAAGTACTATACACGAACTGGGAATAACGGATAAAAAATGTTTTACTATGGATAAGCATTAGTAGATATTATTATTAATTTTGCTCAACCATTCCTTTAAGTTTTATACACGAACTTGGAATAACGGATATATGGTAATTATATTGACATGCCGTATAAATCAACAAGAATTTTTTTTTTTTTTTAGTTTATTATATTTATAAAAATAAAAAAAAATGTTGTTGAATTACCCGAAAAATTCTTCAGGTCATAGTGTTCCTCGTATATTAAATGCTTTTTTTTTTCGAATATTTGCTCTTTTTTTTTTCTTTTTTTTTTGTTTGCGGCTTTTCTTTGTTTTTGTTTGCTGTGATTCGTTCACAGACTTCTAATTTGCTCTGTTTACGCCACAATCTTCATCATCATCATCATCAGTTAGAACATAAAGGTAAAAACTTGGGAATTATTAACTAAATAAATGTATTTTGTATTTTTCATAAAAGAAATATGTAAACATGTTTTTTTAGGTATTTTTAATA